CAAGCCTGGGAGGCAGCTGCTCTCGAGCTCTGGTTTGCCAAGAAGGCTAAGCAAGGAAACCAGCATTCTCTGGGCACCTCCTAGGCATCAGGCCTGATGCCAGCCCTATGACATCAACACCGTCATCAACATCGTCCTATTAAATAAAATGTTAAGGCACCGACTCTTCCAAAACTGTGGATTGCAGTCCATTACTGGGTTATGAAAACAGTTTGGTGGGTGACAAATAACATTTTTAAAATAATATGATAAAAAAAAAAAAAACACAGAAAGTTTCAGAGTGCATTGCACAGAGCAAGGATCAGTATAGTTTTGTAGAAGTTCCATTTCTTTAAAATGCATGTGTGTGTTTGGGAGTTAGTTATAATGGGGATAGAAATCATGCCCATTTTATAGAGTTGCCCTAGGGATTGAATGAGTTAATATTTTAAGTGCTTAAAGCAATGGAGCAGAGGCTGCCAGCACCCAGCCATGTCCCGTTGGAGACAGTTCAGTTTCTTTGTACCCGCCAACGGTTTCCTGAGTCTCCTTCTCCCTCCCTCTCTGGCCGTGGAATCTGCTCAGCCCAAGTGCAGGGCAGGTGAAGGATGGTAGAATTAATGCCCCAGGCATGACCCTCAGCCTATGAGGACTGGGAGGTGGTGGATAAACACCTTAGCCTCCTGACCCCCCAGCGCAACATTTCTGAGGCATGTCCCTCACAGCCTCTCAGGGGGACAACTGAGCCCCAGTTGTCCACAGACACAACTTCCCTTCCCTGTCTCCTTTCCTTTCTCTCACTGCTTTCTGGGATCCTCTCCCAGACAAACTTCTTGCATCTGTATCTTTGTCGTGGTGCCTAATCTTATTTTGGATGAACTCAGTGTAAGACAAGCAGATTCTGGCACAAAATAAGTACTCAATAAATGTTAGTTTGTATGAATTGTGTTCATCTCGGGATAGAATCTATGTAAATGCTTTATATGCATCATCTCATTTAATTTTCACCCCAACCTTATAAGGTAGGAACTATGATTGTCCCCATTTTCCAGATGAGAAAACTGAGGCTTAGAAAAGTTAAGCACTTTACTCAACGTCATATAAATAGAAAGGGGAGAGATCCATTCTGAACCCATATGTGTTTTAAAGCCCTGTTCTCAACCTCTGCACCCCATTTAATCCACACCACCACCCTGCTGGTTAGTTTCTCCTGTCACTCCCGTTTTATAGATGTGGAGAAGGGAAGTCCAGGGAAGATGAGCACTCAATGCCCACACGCTTCACTGCCAGATTGGGACCAGAACCTGGCATTCCGACTCCTGGCTCTGTGCTTCTTGTGACAATGGGCTGCCTCCCAGCACCCTGGAAAGGGCGGGCATGGGAGAAATCCTCCCCTTAAAAAAATCTCTGTGGTAGAAATGGGCCAGCTATTTGTCAAACCTGTGACACAGGAGAGAGAGGTAGGATGTGCATGAAAAGAAGGAGCAGGTTCACCAGGACTTCCAGACAGATAGAGGTCTGTCCTAATGCTTGTGTCTCGACTTCAACTTCTCAGCCTGTTAATGGGAGCTGATGAACTGGTATTAAGTCCCTCTACTCACCGTCGGCTTCAACTTTCATCTTCCCGTCCTTATTTCCAGCAGCCCACCATTCACACCAAAGTGCCCTGGGTTCTATGTGCCTTTGGTGTGAACCACCCCTGCATAAAGTTCCCTGTGACTATTCACTGAGCACAGACTATATGCCAGGCAAAATTCTACCTCTCAGTATCTCAATTTCCTCATCTAGTAAATCGGGATAATCTTAGTATCCTCTTCATGGGTTAGTATGAGGATTAGATGAGCTAATTGTGCAAACCATATATCTGACAAAGGACTCAAATATAGCATATATAAAGGACTCTTGCAACTCTACATTAAAAAAACAATACCAGTACAGCCACTATGGAAAACAGCATGAAGTTTCCTCAAAAAATTAAAAACAGAACTACCATATGATCCTGCAATTCCACTTCTGGGTATTTACCCAAAGAAAATGAAAACATTAATTTGAATATATATGCACCCCCATGTTCACTGCAGCATTATTTATAATAAACAAGATATGAAAACAACCTAAGTGTCCATCTCCAGATGAACGGATAAAAAAAAAAATGTGGTGTATATATACAATGGAATACTACTCAGACATAAAAAGGACATCCTGCCATTTGCAACAACATGGATGGAACTTGACGGTATTATGATAAGAAAGATAATTTAGAGAAAAACAAATGCTGTATAATCTCATTTATATGTGGAATCTTAAAAACAAAAACAAAAACAAAAAAATGAGCTGACAGATGCAGAAAACAGATTGGTAGTTACCAGGGGTGGGGATGAGGGGCGGATGAAATGAGTGAAGGGAGTCAAAAGGTCCAAACTTACAGTTATACAATAAATAAATCATGAGAGTACAACATTTGGCATAGTGACTAGTTAAAAATATTGTTTTGCACGTTTAAAAGTTGCCAGGAGAATAGATCTTAAAAGTCTTCATTACAAGAAAAGATTCTCTAACTCTACTGTGATGGATGTTAACTAGACTTACTGTGGTGATCATTTCACAATATGTACATATATTGAATCATCATGATATAGACGTGAAACTAATGTTTCATGTCAATTATACCTCAGTTAGAAAACTGAACAAAATAAAACAATCCAATTAGAAAATGGGCGAATGACATGAATGGATATTTTAACAAAGAGGATATACAGATGGTGAACGAGCACATGAAAAGATATTCAACATCACTAGCTATTAGGAACATGTAAAATAAGACCGTGATGAGATATCACTATGCACCCATTAGGACAACTGAAATAAAAAAATAGTGATAACACCAAATGGCAAAGATGTGGAGAAAGTGAATTGCTCATATGTTGCTGGTGGGAATGTAGAATGGTACAGCCACTCTGGGAAACAGTGACTCTTTCTTAAAAAATTAAACATGCACTTATATAAACCAACAATTGCACTCTTGGGCATTTATCCCAGAGAAATGGAGACATGTTCACATAAAAACCTATACACAAATGTTTCCAGAAGCTTTATTTGCAATAGCCCCAAACTGGAAATAACCTAAATGTCTTTCAATGGTTAAACTATGGTACATCCATACCATGGAATATTAGTCAGCACCAACAAAGGAATGAACTCTTGACCCACACAACAACTTAGATGGATTATGCTCGGTGAAAAAATTCCGATCTTACAAGGTCACATACTGTGTCATCCCATTTAGATAACATTGTTGAAATAACAAAATTGTGCAGATAGAAAACACATTAACAGTTGCCAGAGTGAAGGGTAGGTGTTAAGAGAAGGGTGGGTGTTACTGCAAAGGGGTAGCATAAAGGAGGTCTTTGTGGAGAGGAACTAGATCTGTACCTTGACTGTGGTGGTGGTTACGTGAATATAAACAAGTGATAAAATGACACAGAACTAATACCAATGTCAGTTTCCTGGCTTTGATACTGTACTATAACTATGTAACCACTGGAGAAAACTGGGTGAAGGGTACAGGGATTTCTCTGTACTATTTCGTAACTTCCTGCAAACCTATGTTTTAAATGAGCAACTCGTAAAGAGTTTAGATCAGTGCCTAAGTGAACAGTACTTAATCAATGTTAGCTCATTATTATGATTCTATCGTCGTTATTACTTCACACAGTCATCTTATTTAATGCTCACAATAAGGTTGTGAGAAAAAGTTTTTTATTTATCTCCATTTTATAGGCTGGGATACTAAGACTCAGACACGTTGGATAACTTATCTAAGTTTACATATCTAGAAAGACCTAAGATGGGAATTAAAGCCAAAATCCATGGACTTCTCACATATGTGCTGGCACAAAGACCAGTCAGATAAAAAAATCTTTGCCCTAGTCAAGTTTATAACATAGTGAGGGAAATAAGAGATTTAACTCAAACCCAAGCAGAATGTCATATATTCTGTATAAGTTATTTCGGAGCACAGGGGAGAGAGGAGTAAAAACATTCCAATTGGGTGATCTGGGAAGGCTTCCTGGAGGAGGTAGCATTTAGAATTGTTTTGATGAATGAGTAGGAGCTTGGTAGGTATAAAAGTGGGTAGTGGTGCAGGAAAAGGCATTCCAAGCAGAGAGAACCTGATCATTGAGGGATAGGCATGCTTGTAGAACAGTGACAAGCACAAGGTAGCTGAAGCAGCTGGCATGTGACCAAAGGCAGATGAAAATTAAGAAAAAGCAGAGGGGAGTCAATGAAGAGGGGCTCTGAACGACAAGCTAGGGATTGGACTTGTCCTCCCAGGTTTTGCTCACTGTGGCCTCCGAAGTCTGCTGTGGAAACCGAAAGGCCAATGTCTAAAGAGTATATTCAATAAAAACAGTGCATACAACAACAACAACAAATATATCTATTTAATATGCTGAAAAAATTGGGCAGAGCTTCACAGTGGTGTAGGTCCCAGGAAGCAAGGAACCCTTCCATCTCAGGACCCCAAGATATTGTCTTCCAGGGTCCTCCCAAAGCCCAGTTGTAGCAGATCCTGAAGGCAAACCTTGGCCTCTTGTGGGTCCTGGGCCCCACAACAGTTATTCTGGGCTTTGGAGCTTTATCTTTCAACAATAAGTCATGAACCCTATTACACTTGTAACTTTTTATCATCCCTCCCCAAAAATAACCTCTATGTGGTCAGGATCCAGATATGTTTGGGTCACTGTTGAACCCAGCTTACAGTCAGTCACCTAGAGGTTTTTATATTCAATTCCATTCTATCAATACAATGTCAATTTATCGGGCACCTGCCCTGGGGATCGGAGGTGAAAGAGCAAGATGCAGTCCCTTAGTGGAGAAGAGAGGCAACCGTGGCATGCCACTCATGGGGCAATGGCAGTGCCAACCATCTAGAGACAAATGGATGAGAAACTACCCTGGACTACGACAGGTGGAGACAGTCACATCTGTATAACTTATCTTTAAAAATGTGGAGGTGAAGCCTCATTCTTGATGAGAATGGGAGTTGTTGATCATGGTGTTCAGGAAGTTTAATGGGGCCAAATTGAGACACAGTTTATTCTTCCATCCCACTAAATTTATTGCGATGGTGACAATAAGACCTGTAACTTTTTGCTAGGTTCGTAAGTGAAATTTAGATGTAATACAACTGTAATATTAGAAATATATTCAGAAATAATACATTTTAGATCATTGGCCAAGATAGCAATGTACTTTCTGCAATTCAGCTTCTAGAGCCCTGAAGTCAATTATTTGAAGAAACTAGATTCCAAAGATTCTAGTGGGATACTTTTCGAAGTATGTCATCAGTATGTCTGTATTCGAGTGGAGATAAAAGAAGCCCAACTAAGAAAACTGTGACAAGGCTGATGGACAGAACAACTGTGGATTAAATACGAGATCTTTGAAAAAAGACTATCTTGAAGATAAGTCTTGACTCAAGCTTTAGGGAGCTAAGGTGACTTCGATGAGCAGTGGAATGAATCACAACATGCAAAATTTCTTAAATAAACATCTGTTGACTTAACATGTGGAGATGGTATTTCTTGCCTGTGGATCTTTGCAGTCAGGTTGTTGCTTGAATAACTTCCTCACCTCTCACCACTACTTCGGTTTGCCTTTACCAGACTGCCCCTAGGGCCTGGCTTAGCCAATGCTATTAGAAAATGGATTTTGAGCTGTAAAGGACAGCTTTTGCAGATGCGTACTTAGGCTTTGGAAGGATGAATTGGATTAAAAGAAGCAGCTGAAAAGGACGTCAGAGACCCTCTGGGACAATTGCTTTCAACCTGGGTTTTCTGGAGCCTAAGGGTTCTGCAGAGGTGCCCAGGTGGGCTGGGAGACAGCCCTGGGGAAGGGAATGCTGAGGGCCTGGGCTCAGAGTCTCTACCTGTTTCAGCTAGAAGAGCTCAATGTGACTTTTCTTACACTTTGAATTTCCAAATATGTTAGAAGAAAAGTTCAATGGTTTAAGGCTTAAAACCCATTAAGCTAGTCCAATACAATCATCACCATCATCATCACGATCATCGTTGTCATCATTTTTTATACAATAGCTGATTTTGAGTGTTTTGCATGTGTCACTGTTAAAAGTGCATTACCTACATTATTTCATTTAATCCTCACAGCAACTCTAAAAGGTAGGTACTATTATTACCCCATCTTACAAAGGAGAAGACTCAGGCCCAGAGGTTAAGTAATTTGACCAAAGCACATAGATCATAAGTGATAGAGCCTGTCTTTAAACCCTCATTGCTGGCTCCTGAACCTGCACAATTTCCCCCTACAAGGTACTGAGGAAGGTGAGGCCCAGAGAGAGGCAGGGACCTGCCCCAAGCCCAACAGTGGGCTCGGGGGCAGAGCCATTCTCCCTCAGAGCTTCTTCCCTCTGACATGCTCCTTCCCTCTCTCTCTCTTCATCCTTTGGTGTGCCTCCTGGAACAGACTCAGAAGCGGCTTTAAATAGACCATCCCTTGGTTACCAGCATCTGCGTTTCCATGCTGGGAGCAGTGAAGGAGACAGAACTGCAGTGGCTGATCTGCTTTGGCGACCCCTATTCTGAACGGGGCTGGGGCTCTTTTTTGGCTTGTAGCCTCCACTCTAGTTGAAGTTGAGGGCTTTGGCATGGCATTCCAGGCATTTCACAGTCTGTACTCTGTCTGTCCAGCCTCACCTCCATCTGCTCCTCTACATACTCTCTTGCTATTGTATATGTGTATATCCGATTCCTTTGCCCAAGATGCTCCCTCTGCTAGAATACCCTTCTTGCCTTACTGGCCTGGCATACTCCTGCTCTGATGTCCCCTTTCTAGGGTCCTGATCTCCCTCCCAAGGGAGAATCAATCACATCCTTTCTGTCATGGCACACACCACCCAGTACTCTAACCATTGACTCCACTTATTGCTCCAAAGACATGCAGGTTGTCCCACCGTTATGCTACTAAAATCAGGATAGTTCTTATAATCCATGCTTCTCAGTAATTTAGAAGTATTTCTTGCCTCCTGAAACACTGTTAGGATCCAGGAAATATAGGACTTCTTTGTGTCCCTCCAAGACTGAGCTCACCCGGGTTGGGGGCCATGACTACGTGTCTCTGGACCCCCACTAATCAGCATAGGAAGACACAGAGGAGGGACCAGGTGGTGGCAAGTTGTGGTTGGATGATGCCTTTTATGCCCAGGTCACCATGGGAGCCTTGAGGGGCTCTAAGCTCTGGGGCATCCTAGAGGCTCAGGAGAGCCTTCAACCATTTGCCTACTGCCCATTGAGTGCATGCACTGCCTCGTGGCACGTGCCCTGGAGAGAAACATGGGCAAAAACAGCAGACTTCATTTTCCCTTGTGTTAGTTAGCTAGGGATCATCTGAGGTAGAGCTGAGGCGGGGATGCTGGTGCTGGGGAGCAGCTGCAAATACAGATGAAGCTTTTGTTCCCTTGCCAGACGTTCACCTCCTGCTGTGTGGCCTGGTTCCTAACAGACCACAGATCAGTACTGGTCCATGGCCCTGGAGTTCGAGACCCCTGGCTTAAACAACAGAAATTTATTTTCTCACAATTCTGGAGGCCGGAAATCTAAGATCAAGGTGTCAGCAAGGTTAGCTCCTTCTGAGGCCTCTGCCCTTGGTTTGTAGATGGCCACCTTCTTCCTGTATCTTCACACAGTCTTGTCTCCATGCAAGTATTTGTGTCTTCTTATAAGGACACCAGAGTCATATTAAAGTAGGACCCACTCCAATGATCTCATTTTAATTTAATGACCTCTTCAAAGACCTTATCTCCAAATATAGTTACATTCTGAGGTTCTGGGATTTAGCACTTCAACATATGGATTTTAGGGAGACACAATTTGGCTCATCATGCCCCTCGAAGGTTGGGAAGCATGTCAGTCTAAAACATACCAAACCCCATGCTCTGCCTCTACTTTCCTCTTTCTGAAGTAGTCACAATACCTGACCAGTTCTTAGCCCTTAGCTTTCTTGAATTTCCAAGAGAATTTTCTATCATATCCTCTTCTGACTGGTCTACCGATTTCTGTTCTCATCTATTTCTTTCCAGGCTTCAATCACCTCCTTATCAGGCTGAACTAAATATCTATTTCTTTCCAGGCTTCAATCACCTCCTTATCCAGGCTGTCTGAACTAAACTGCCATTAGCAGTTGTCCACCACTTCTCTTAGAGCTTCGCCCTTATGTGTAAAATATAGGAATCTTAGCCTTGATGAGATCTCTCAAGAACATGGGACTTGGCTTCCTGTCGCCCTTCCCCTTGCCTATGGCATGCCTTCCTGTAGAATCCAATGCCAGGCAGCCACTGTCATGTGGGTTGGCTCGTGAGCTGGGTCACATTTGTGTTTGTGGGCCTACACGTCTCCTAAGGGAACTTCTACCCAGAAATCCTGTGGATTCTTAGGGACACTATCCATATACTAGATGGCTCTGAATGGTCTCAAGTTTATATAATTATTATCTCTTCAATAAAAGCAATCTGTAAATTAAATAAGTAACTAAAAGTATCTAGATTCTTTGGGGGGAACATTTGACCAACCCTTGGACTCTGGGCCCAACAGGTACGTTCTCCATGTGGTCTGAAGCAGTTGACCAGGAATCTGGTCTTTCTATTTGGTAGCCCAAGCCAAGGAACAAAGGAACAGAACTGGTAGGATATTCATTCATTCATTCCTTTCATTCAAACATGGACTGAGCACTCACTATATGCTCGATATTGCTCTCAGGGCTGAGGATTCACAGACGAAGACAGTGATAGCCCTCACAGTGCTAGACCCTGTGGCACCCTATTTATTTAATTCTTTATGGCCTCAATTTTGGTACATTTTCCTCTCTGTAGCAAATATTACTCATCGTTCACTAAAATCCATATTCTCCTCCCACAGTATATGATTGTCCATGTGAAGGGGTTTCCGAGCAAGCGACTTCAGTTCCCAGTCCTCTTTGCATCTAAGTGTGGCCATGTGACCTCAACGAGGGAATGTAAAAAGTCATAAGAGTCATTTCTAGGCCAAGACTTTTATGAAATGTGTGCTCCTTCTCCACGTTCTTTTTTACCTTCCGTTGTCTAAATGCAGGTTATCTATTTCAAGGCTCTAGAGAGGATGATGAAGGTACAAGATGGAAAGAGCCTGGGTTCCTGAGTCATTGCATGGAGGAGAGCCACTTACTGACCAGAAATGTCAGCCTTGGACTATTTTGTGAATGAGAACTAAATTTCTATTGTGTTTGAATCTTTGCACATTTTGGAATCTCTTTGTTGTAGAAGCTTATATTACCCTGACACAACCTTTAAGTGAAGTCAGCCTCATTGCTATACCGGTTCAAATATGTCTCTGTATCTCCACTGCCTACCTTCAGAAGATTTCTGGGATGTGGGTACCCAAAGGAAATCATCAGCAGCTGGTAACCAGCCCTTCTTCTAAGCCAGATGACTTTAACGCAAACTAAGAGTTTTCTATAAGATGACTTAAAAATCCTGGTAAAATAAGCTTTCAGAATTTAAGAAAAAATTGCAAGGCTTCTCTGAGAATCAACTCTCAAATACCATATTCTTTTGCCTGGGAAATCAGTCTGGGTTCAGGACAATTTTCGAAACAGCCAGGAACCCTTTTCTGGGATTCAGTACCCCCTGGTTGTTGCTTATTGAGGGAGCTGGCAGAGTAAGGACCACTGGCAAAGACAAATTAGCAAGTAATGGAATCCCAGCCCCCCATTTGGGTCAACAGCATGAGTCAGTGTGCTACAGAAATAAAGAAATCCCATTCATAAATTTTCCCTTGCCCCAGCTTAAGAGCTTTCAAAGTCATAAAGTCTACATAAAGCCAGAGACCTACAATTGTCCAATTAGAGGTTTTATCCAGGGAAACACACACTTTCGAAGTCATAGTTTGGTCCCTATGCCAGAAGCATAGCTGAGCTGCTTTGGTGTGTTGCACTTCTGGGTTTTATAGAAATTTCCACTTCAGTGAGATAGGACAGAAAACTTCTTGGAGACTCTCACCAACCCCCTCTCCCCCGCAGTGTGGTCCATGAGGGGCCTAGAGATACCGAAAGCTAACTGTTGCCAATGTGAGAATTCAGGAAAAGCTGGAGTCAACTTAAACC